CCCTGGGCAAGAAAAGAAAAGAAAAAGAAGGAAAGCCTTCCAGCAGAGGGACCAGGGCATTCTTGACACTGCCCAGTCACAAAACTCTGGCTTCTTCTTCTTTTAATGCCAGAAAGAGCTGCATGGTCCAGAATTTGACCCCGGGTGAAGAGGCTGTGACTGGTGTAACTGGAGGCTGATTTGGTGTCAGTTTTATATCCAGCTGGGCCCAGCAGGTGCCTGGAAGATGTAGCTGGCATGATCTGGTGATCATCGTGACCCATCATGTATCCTGTCCTCTGCCCAGCAATCTCCAAAGTCCTTGGCTTAGAAACTTTACTTGGGATAGATAAGCAATGTTGGGAATTGGCATGCCAAAAAAGTAACATTTCCAAGCACGTTTTGTGCAAGCATGCCTGTCCCGTGACTGGTGGACGAGACAGCTCTGGAGTCCTCTTGGTCCAACCCCCTTCCTGCCACCCAAGGATCTCCTCAGCCTGAGCTTCCAGAGTCACCAGAGGGGGCACTGAGTTCCCCCCAACGGATTGTGCTGGGGGTTTCTGATGTTGGTTGTCAACCCACAAGCCATATCATGGCAGCTCAATGACACCACAGGCATGTCTTGATGGATACCTGGCCTAGACACATCACCAGAGGGGGCACTGAGTTCCCCCCTTGTAACTGTGTGGGATCAAGGGGAACAAGGGGGTCTCCCCTCCCCTCCCCTCAAACTCCCAACCTCTGGCTCTACAGCCAGATCCCTAAACCACTGAGCTCTCCAGCCAGTGCTAATCATCTCCACAGAAGTGGCTGGACAAGTGGTTGGACTGTTTCTCTGGATTCTTTGTTGGAAGTGCTGATGACTCACCTGGGGCAAGAGAAACACCCATTGGTGTGAAATGAGTGGAACAGCGTGGTGTCCTTTGCAGAGTCAAAAGCGCCCCTCCGTGTTTTCCGCAAAACAGATTGGTATAGATTCAGAGGTCCTATTGTTAGTATATCTTTTTTTTTCTCATTCCCTGGAAAGCCTGGAATCCCCTTTTGTATCTTTTTAATAAACCTCCCTGTGATTGAAGTTTCCTTTCCCAGCATAGAAGGATTCACGAGGGTCATGTTTGGCTTGTCTAGAAATGCATCTGTGTACCTGAAGAAATCGTGGTTGTTTTTTCCTAATTCTATTTACACCTGTACATGCTGTCAAGGGACCCCGACTTAGGGCTGCTGTAACAGAGTTTTTGAAGTAGGTTAGATGTTCAAGAAATGGTCTTGAGACACGGAGTGCTGTCTACCTCGGCTGCATCCAGAGTACAATTGAGACTCTCGACATCTACCATGCACCAATATGATCCATGCCATCTACCTTTGCGGAGCACTACTGGCTACACGTAGGTACATGCAATACCACTGGATTTGGCAGATATGTGTTGGCATCCTTCCTATCGTGACGTCCCACCAGCCAGTAAGTAAGCTTGCCAGTCACCCATATGTGTGTATTCACAGAGGGCACGAAGAAGAAAGAAAGGTTACTCACCTGTAACCATGGTTCTTCGAGTGGACCTCTGTGAATTCACACTACCCGGCAATCCTCTGTCCGTCACGGGTATCTTATTGCTGTATAACTCTTGTGCCCGGCAGACAAATTGCAGGAACTGAGGGGAATCTTGGGTGGGAGGAGCATGTGCCTCATGGGGGATCATCCCATAAAATTGTTACTTTTAGCTCTGGAATGCTCCGAGAACATCAGCGCAGGTGCAGAATAAACCCATGTTCCATCCCCCACATATAGTCCAGGTCTGTCCTCCTCCGGCTCATAGTCTTATCTTTTAAGTTTTACTGGTCTTGTTGTTTATTAAAGTTCTTCTCAGAATTATTAAGACTGATGTTATTAGGAGTAAAAACCTCGGCTTGAGGATGTTACTCATGAGTAGCACCACATAGATCTTATTGATGAGCGAAGGCAACATCAGGAACAGCAAAGTCCAGGTAGAAAGATGTTCAGTCCCTGGCAATTCCTTTACCCTTCCTTGGGAAAAGAGTGAAGTGTCTCTGAAGATAGTCCAAAAACGGCAGGGTGAGCAGTCCAGATCAAGGAGGGAGGCTGCCATTAAGGAGGCCAACATGGCGACCGCCCAGCCTAAAACCACAACAGTCAGCTCCCTTTCCTCCACGGCTGCCAAAGAACTTTCCCCTGCCGTCTTACTTCCCCAGCCTGGGATGTTCCACTCCACCTCTCCAGCAGCCCGAGACTCACGGGGATTCCTGGACCTCGCACCCACCACCACCGGCACAGGGAAACCCAGCGAACCCGGCTCCAGGCTCCGGCATTCAGCCACGCGGTCAGGAAAGCTCACCAGGAAAGGGGGGGCACCGAGCCAGCAGCCTCTAATTTCTCCAGCTCTTCTCCCCTCCGGTCTCAATTTGATCCCGGGGCAGGCTCCACGCAATGCTCACCTGCGTTCTCTTCCTGGATGGAAGGCACCCGAGCCTCCAAGCTCCACTAAAAAGCCAGAACGCTTCACGATCGAACACCAATTCTGGTCCCACGTTTGAGCTCCAGCTCTAGCCCTGCGGTCGCGCACTCAATCCAGCAACCAGTTCTTGAGGGAACGAGGGAACAAGGGGGGGCAGACCAGGAGACAAAGAAAGAGAGAGAGGAAGAAAGAAAAGAAGAGAGGGAAGCAGAGGAAAGCAGAGAAAGGCAGAAAAATAGTAGGCAGGACCCAAGAGGCAAGCCGGTGTGACGGAGAAAAGCACTAGCCGCCCACTGCCGGCGCCATCTTGGCAAAAAAGTTTTGTTCTCTTCACAACACTCTATTAGCCTTTGGCCTGCTTCATTTTGAATTCCAAGGCCAATTTACCTGTTGTTCCTTTTATCTCTTGACTCCCTACTTTAGCATTCCAGTCCCCTAGAATGAGAAGAACATCTTTCTTTGGTGCCAGTTCTAGAAGGTGTTGTAAATCTTCATAAAACTGTTCAATTTCAGTCTCCTCAGCATTGGTGGTTGGTGCATACACTTGGATTATTGTGATGTTGAAAGGTCTGCCTTGGATTCATATTGGATTCATACGCCACTGACACCAGGGCTGTAGACATGATTGTTCAAAAACGCCCTCTTTGCTGCACAGCCCGACCAGCACCTTGGTTTAACCAGCAGCTGTGGGCTATGAAGCAGAATAGGAGAAGGCTAGAGAGCCTCTGGAGGTGGTACCCAATGGAAAATAACTTAAAAGCTGCCAAGGTCGTGTCTAACCTCTATATTGATAAGGTAGAGGCTGCTAGAAAAGCCTACTTTTGTCCGGATAAGCGAAGCATCCAATCCGCAGTTGGAACTTTTCCATGTAGTACATGACTGTGACAATTGCCCCATGTCATTCCTGTCACTCATAGTCAGGATCTCATTTGCAAAAACCTATGAGAGGATTGGAGGGGCGGAGTCAGTGGATATATAAAGGTTTGGCAGGAAGAGAAAGAGAAGAGAAAGAGAAGAGAGAAAGAGAAGAGAGATAGAACTAGCGGCCTAGAGTGGTCAAAACGACTAGATAGGCGGGGTATAAATAA